GGATTATTAGAGTTAATCACTTTCACAACTTGTACTCCGTAATAAAATCAAAAGTTTTCTTGTTTTGTTCTTAGATTGAGATTATCCTTAATGTGATTAAACAAAGACTAACAATAACGACCAGACAATGACAATAATAATATGTAACACTTACCATTATAAACCAAACTTTTATAATTTTTCTAATTTGTGTTACATGAATAATTCATCTATAAACCACTTTAACGATCCACTTTCACGATCTGAATGTTAAATTTAACTAATTTAAGTTATAACGATTCATTTCAAGTCATTATATTTACTCGTAAGGGCTATATATGTACATTATTTCTCTAACAAATAATATTAACAATAATAATTGTAATGGGGTGGAGTATACTTATTAGTATTATTATTCGCTCTCTGAAAAGTATATTAGTTCTATTTTTATAAAAAAAAAATTGATGTTATTATCATCTTTTGAGTTTAATTTTGATTTCTTGTGAATGACTTGATGAGTTTTACTTGTACATAGTATCTACTCGAGAAAAAAGTGAGGGAATCCATATTTGTGTAAGCATTGATAGAAGAAAGTCAAATACTCTAGATGAAAAAGGAAAAAGAAATAAAGGAAAATATAATTACAGTGTACGATGTAGCCACTAAAAACATGCATGACAAAGATGCCAAGACCAACATGAGTGCAATAGTCTATTTCTAGGCAAAAAGAAAAAAAAAATTATAGCATCATTATTGATGCATGGCCTTGTGTAGGAACAGTGGCGGATCCAAGATTTCCGAGATAGCGTGTCACCATCAATTATTGATCATTTGTGAAAGTACAATTTTTTTTTTTCCATGTCTTGTTCATAATTAATTTCAATCCAAAAATTATATTTATGTATATATATATATATCACCAAATTGATTTCAATCCAAAAATAGGACACAAAAATACATACCACAACCAAATACAGTACTTAAGAATTCAATTTTACAAGTCAAAAATACTACAAATAACATGTTATAAACAAATGGTACAATAAAATTATTATATTGAATCAACTTTATGATTTTTTAGTTAATTGATAAGCTTTATGGGGAAATATTAAAATCGGTTGTACAAATATAAGATATAAAAAGGGAAAAAAAATTATTAAAAAATTATACAAAAAAAAGTGAGATAACTTAAGAGACCAGTTATTAAATATAACTGGTCTATTTAATGAAAAAAAAAAGTAGCGCAAAAGAATTGCGAAATGCAATAGGCATCAAAGAGACCTCTTATATAAATAACAGGTCTCTTTAATATTTAAGTAGCAATATCAGCATTAAATAGATCGCCTACCTTAATAAGAGGTCTCTTTGATGTTGTTTGTTGTTACCAATAGCAGCATCAAAGAGATCGCCTATCTATAATAAGGGGTCTCTTTGATATTTTATTTTAAAAAAAAAAATACTGTGTCACCGGACCCACTATGACTAAAGGTGGGTCCGCCCCTGTGTAGGAATGATAGGCAAGAAATATACGCGGAAGTACTTCATGATGGAGCGTTTAGAATGATAAATTAGAAAAAGAAAGAATCAAATATATGTTGAGAAGTCATCCAAATATGTACCTCAAACCCGACCTTTAATATTTAATTTGAATTGATTATTGTTCATTGTTGGGATGGTGTTGTTTTTAGATCTATTGTATTCCATATTAGATTATATTGAAGATTAGAGAGGAAAACATTTTTTATTTTAATAGAGTAATAGATAATTGGTAATGATTACATACTCGTAGTAAAAAGAGCATATATCTAACATCTAATACAAAAATATTAGATATTCAAAATGCTAAATTGATCTTGTTATGACTGCTTAACTAAATACACCATATTAACATCATCTCAAACATTTTTTGTTACCTGTATTCACATATTTAATATTTACTTTAATTGTTTCTTATTTAACTTGTCTATTTTAGATTCTATGATATTTAAGTAGAAAAAAAAATGTTTGAAAGGACTATAGAATATGTAATCTTTTGATAAAGGTAAAAAAAATGTTGAAGAAATATTAATAGCCATTATCATCTTAAGAATCACATGTTATTTTTTCATTTTTGTTTTCGTGATGTTACTTTACTTAGGAAAGCACATGTTACATCACATGCATGTGATCCCCTCAATGGGAAATAGCACATGTTACACGTTGATCACATCAATTGTAACTTAACAAACGAATACACGATTTAGCTTTTAAAATACAAATAAAATTACTAGGTTAATCCATAGTCTTAATCATCCAAGCTACACGTATATGCTTAATTATATTTGTAGAGAAAATCATAGTTCATAAAAGATTTAAATTCAATCTTTAAATATATTTATACATCTCAAGATTTTCCTAAAGGGAACTATGAATTAATCTGAATGACTAAATTAATAAATATGTAATGTATATTGCTCTTTGGAAGTTGTTATAGACCACAAAAAGAATGCTAATACGATTAAATAGTTGATTATACTACCCTACTACATATATATGTTTAATTATTTAATTAAGCTATAAAGGAGTCAATAACAATAATAAAAAAATAATAATAATCATTATAATTTAATAAAAAAAATTAATTAAAAATAATAGTAGTATTCCCGTGCCTATAATGCACGTAAGTTTCTTAGCTCTAGCACTTGATATGAGGTTCCCTTAAGAACAAGGTGTATTTAGGTAGTCAACTTAGCCATAAAACCAAAGGAAAAAAAAAATATAATGAATTAATATGCATGCATGAACGAAGTAGTGTACCTGTTACCCCATTTAGCATGCAACTCCATGATCAATAGCTCCTCTTCAGCAGTTATATTACCACGACGAACATCCGGCCTTAGGTAATTCAACCAACGAAGTCGACAACTTTTTCCCGTACGTTTAAGGCCTAATATGAAATTACACGTACAAAACTATATCAGTACGTAACAAAGTTTTTCAAGTACGTATAAGGCCTAATTTAATTAAGCTTCTTAAGGCAAATTCAAAATAATAACCATAGGTTAAAAATCATAACATCGATAATACATAACAATCGAAGAAAAAAAAAACGTACCAGCAGATCGAGCTAAGGAATTCCAAACACCTTCACCATGATTAGCAATATAATTAATGAGAATTAAGTCTTCTTCCATGGTCCAAGGACCTTTCCTTACCTCATTATTTTCATGAGAATTGTTTGTATTTGAATCCATTTTTAATGAATTTGGAGTAATTAAAGAAAAGTAAATAACAAAAGTATGGGCAATAGATGAGAAGAAAGGTAAGAGAATAGAACAAGCTAAGCTAAGAAAAGGTATGATGCATGTGGGCAAGAGACATATAATGAATGTTAGGACCAGTATTTATAGAGGAAATCTAACCTCAGTTTTAAAACTTAATTAAACCTATGCTACTACTTTAATTGAATTCATGTGGTAGCTGCATTATTATAAGTGAATTTATGGTCCATATTTTTTTGTATTTTGTATTAAACTTGATTTATTTTTATTCTGTTTCATCTTGCTTTTTCTCACTGGCAGTCAATTTTTATTTATTTATTTATTAAAAAAAAAAGAAAAAAAAAATCTAGCTTTGTTTTGCACCATCTGTAAACTTAGCTTAAGATTATTTTCATTCTTTTAGGAAATTATAAGTATTTGTGACAAACTTGCATCATTGTATGACAATTTTATTTTTGTTGTAGATTTGTAAAATTAAAGAAAAATGATGTATAGTACGTACATGATTTAATTATAGTTCTTGTATACAAGTCTGAGAACTGTCGCATAAGTTTAACCAAACTAATGTAATTCACATACATGTACATGGGTCATTGTTCAAAATAACCCAGTTACACAATTTGGAAGCTTCTTATGTTTATCAAAGATTTTTTATTAATAAAAAAACATCTCTCTCCATATTAAAGCTAAGATTTCGAATGAAAGAAATAAAAAGAATTTAAAAGGAATGGATAAGGTTAATAGTTAATTGAATAGGGTGAAGTTATATAAACGTTTGATATAAACGAAGGAAAAATTTTGTAGAAAACATTTAAACGAAGCATGATAACTTATAATATGTACTCTCTTTGTGCTAAATAATTTCTGTTAATTTGAACATGAATATTCAATAATTTTTAATATGATATAGGGTGAGCGTGTGAGAAAAATATAGTTAATGGAAAATCTACTTCATATGAGTTGTGTAAAAAATTTACACTGAATTTTTGTGGATATTTAGAATACAAGATTATTTGTGGTTGGATTACGATTATTAAAATAACTGTGTAAGAGTTAACCTTGATGCATTATATGAGCATATAATTTCAGTTAACTTCATAATGCCCAATTTTCTTTAATACAAGGCTTACAAGAAGTTGCCAATTTCCACAAAATATCAACACTTCTATTTTGTTCCCTCCATTTTTTCCCCCAATTTCAAGCTGATTCACTATTAAAAACTCATCATTATTGCAGTCTTTCTTCAATTCCTTCCTATTTTCGTCTTTCCACTCCTTTTAAATCATTAGCTCGTACCAAGTGCCGCGACACGCTTGAGTCCTCGTGACAGATTTATTGATGGTCTTTCTGCTTCAAATTTATTCAAAGAAGAAATTGCACAAAGTATGTACAAGTTTTCATGAACATAATCTGCCTAATGGTGAAAATATATAAGCTCCAACATCAATCTGCTTTCCTGAATCTGCATCCACTAAAAATCATCTCTTAACAATAGCTCAACTGCCATGAAAGATCTGGAATGGCATATGGAAACTTAACATCTTTCGACGCCAGTATTAGTAGCCTAGTTGCTGTAAGACTTATAAGCTGCCTCTGATATTTCATCATTTTTGAGCTTAGTTGTTTACATGGAGGACCTGGAGGACCGCCTCTGCTTCTCATAGATGCACAATCTGATTGCAGCACCAGAGAATGCTATCTACAGACTTTCAGCTACTGGCTGTTGTCAAAAAAAAAAAAAAAAAAAAAAAAAAAAAAAAAAAAAAAAAAAAAAAAAAAAAAACTTTCAGCTACTGCATGAAAGGCCGGGGCTATCTCAAGGATAAAACCTGTCACCTTGGTAGCCTACAGAGGAGTCCTTACAATCATTGGCTAATTGCACCGAATTCAACTCAATTCTCTAGAACTCTTTTGTTGATAATAACAATAACCATAAAGACGAGGGAGTAATACGTAAATGATAATGCACTTCCTCAACCTGTCCAAGTTACAAAAATCCGTACTCATAAATACAAAAGTTTCACAGATTGAAAGTTGTATTTATAATAATAATCTGATAAATCATGGATGAGTAAAATTTACAAGTATTTATTGTTGGGAGATAAAAGTTATCAACACAAATCTTACAACAAATTACTGTGATGCACAGGTACATCGAAGTAAAGCACTTTCCCGTACCGGGGACATATTGGGGATGTGTATGCCGAAGTGTAGCCTACAAACACGACTAGTATAATGGGAATTTTGCAGTTGGCATCTTTATCATTAATCAGGTATAAATTTGCTAACCTGCATGTCCACATATCACAAACAAGCAATGGTTGTAGTGACTTTCTAGATTCACTTTATGCTTGGGTACAGGCCTTATTGCTCCAGAAAATACTGTTGGGTAGAAATATGCTTCAACAGGACCAATTCGAAGCTAAGCTCCAGTTACTTCCAAAGACCCTACGTATATGCATTGCACCCCGCAATGCATAAATAAACCCATTATGGATCAATCGACCACCTAACGAACGGACCTATAACAAGTTTGTGGTACCATCCTGAATCAACCCCTTACAACTTCCAATTGTGTTCATCATCTGCTAGAAAATGAAAAAATGCAACACAAGTTAACAGTGTTCACTTCCTTATCTTTTGTGCATGTTTGATATGCTGCATGAAAACAGAAACAGGAAAACGTAGAAATACAATTACCCAAATGTTTAGATAACATAGAAACAATAAAAGAAAAAGGTTTCCACCAAGTTCTATTGAAAGTCTAAGTCTCCAGTTTCCATGATGAAAATATGAACTTTATGAGAGTCTTAAAATATCAAAACATGTTTGTTGGAGGGGGAAAGATTATTTAAGAGTTATTTCCTACAGAAATAATCAAGACTACAAACAGAAGTTTGTATAAAGCATCGTTCTGAATCTCAGGGACCGACCAGCAACGTTTCTGCAACACTCTTGCATTAACATACAAAGTCTAGGTAAACTTAGATGGACTTGCAATCGCCTAGGTAAACTTAGATGGAATCGCAATCAACTTTGGGTTCTAGTATTGATATCTTGAGCACTAGATAGGCTTCAATGAAAGTAACACAAATTTATTTTTCAAAAAGGTCTACCATAAACATAGCCATGAGCTTAGTCTATATAGCCTTACAGCTTACCTTATGTCTCCGAGTAGTAGTAGGATAACAAACCCCAAAAATAAATAGGACCTAAAAGCCCAAAGTCTAATTAAACAACTTGGAAACCAACTATATGGTCCTTGTCAACTAAAAACCAGGTAGCTTCTAAATGCAACAGATAAAATAATGGCTAAGATAACTAAATTGTAACAAGTAACTCATAAGACGAAGGTAGACTATCCATTTGATTTCAACCCCTAAAATCAAAGTATCAAGCATTATAGTTATTGGTTCATAAGACAAAGAAACATAACCTTCAAGAACAAAAAACGTTTTCCTGGAATGTGTAGTCCTGGGAGGTATAGTATCGTCATTCTCTTCAATAATAGCAGCTATCACTCCACCATGTGTACAGGCAGACCATAATTATCACTTACCAGGGGCATAATATCAAATGTGTTTTATGTGATAAATGTTAAGTTAAAGGATATTAATTTATAGGGCTGGACTAAGGCTCCATTTGGTAGGGCGTAAAACATTTTCACTGAAAAGTGTTTTCCCATTTTACATTGTTTGGTTTGGTGTAAAACATTAAAATGTAAAATTTGGGGTGGAAATACATTTTCCCCCCAATTTAGAAGGAAAACATTTTTCCCCCAATTTAGAAGGAAAACATTTTCCATCACAAGTGGAGGGAAAACATTTTCCCTCACAATTGAAGTAAATGATTTTCAGTTCAACTAAACAATGAAAAATGCTTAAAATGGAAAATCATTTTACATGCAACCAAACAACGAAAAACCTTCATAAACATGAATTTTTCAATGTAAAAGGTTTTCCATGAAAAATTATTTTCATCTAAAGACGTTTTACACCCTACCAAAAGGGGCCTAAATGAATTCAATGAAACATTAACACTGCCTTTCTTTCCCTTGTAGCGCACCATCTTGACTTAAAATATTCATACTCTCCCTTGACCTATGTATTGTGATTTATACGTAAGGAAAGACATAATTTTGTTGAATTTGTTTAGATTCTGCTAGGAATCAGATTAATCTAAACAGAAAATCAATTAGCCCCATTGATAGATTGTATTGATGATTCAACCAACAATACCACTACTTCTTTCGAGAGGAAGGATTCTCTCACAGTGTTTACTTCTCACAAATTTTTGCATAATTCTTCCCACTTACAACTTCTCTATTTGTTACATGATTCTAACAAACTGCCTTCCAGCTAAGAGAGAATAACAAACTAATTCTCAAATTACTTAATTGCCCAGAATCTCTAATAGACTTCATTATAGAATTCCAGCTCATCCTTCAAGTTGCTGCTGCACCAGCCTTGGGCTTCCTTCAAGCATAAGAGATCAGGGGCCTGGACTGTTGATTGGGCTGACTCCTTGCAGATTCTTCCCTTTTAATACTTAAGGAGAAAGAAGGTCAACACCGGAAAAATATATACTTCCTCCTTTATATTTTTTTCAATCGTAAAGTTTGAAATTTTACACTATTTATTCACACTCCTTTAATCATCTTTTGTGATTTATATGTTAGAAAAACTATAGTCATGTGGGATCTTGATAGATTTGTCTCGAAATACACTTTCATAACATCAACATTTTATAATGTTTACAACACAACTTAAGATATTTGAGTTATAGAATGTGCATTTGCAAGCGTGCTCCAACTTTGTGACTAAAAAACGGACAACGCATATTTTTATTTGGCGAGAAATTCACATTAGGTTATTTCTAAACCCTATAACAAAATAACTTAAAGAAAAATATCAAAGCAGAGGTCTTTCCTCACATGTTATCCAGATCAACTGCTACTCTGTACAAAAGGTGTTTCAAACTTTCAATTCAGGAAAAAAAAACAGCAAATTAAGAAGATGATTATGAATCTACTTTTCGGTGGTTATTTGTGACATAAATCCATACTCTCAATTCGAAATCACCAGTATTGAGTATTCTCTCACTTTCTTCTCACTATGCCTCACACCAAGCCAAGCTGATACGATTCATCCATCCAACATAGGGCGTGATTTATATATTTTAAGATTCTTTTTTAGTTTTAGAGGCAAAGCCAACATTTTAGAGTGCAGCAATTACAGTTGTGTCAAGAAAGAGTGCGGGCTAAGGAATAGGGGAGAAATGACCTTAACTCAATGAATGGAAGTTTCCAGCTGAACACCCGATACTAACACCCTCTACAGCAATACCTCCTAAACAATTCAATATCTTTTTAAAAGTTGAATCAAATGTGAGTTTCCTTTTGCTACCATTTGATGTGTTGAACTTTGATGACCATTAACAGTATTTAAGATTTTTGATATTCTCGGGGAAGGAGTACATTCAAAGAAGCTGAGCTTTTGAGTCATCTACAACAAGGCAAATTTTACCTGGTAAGAGATACTAGCTGGAAAAAAGTGAAATGAGAAAGGTTAATTTAGATTTATATGGCCTATCTAATACTGAAAGCATACACAAAAGTACTCACACACGAGGATAAGGGATATATGAGAGATTAATTGATATCTGCCACAGAGGCAGCTGCTCATACGGAAAGACCCAAAAAAAAAAATAAGTCGCAGCAGAAATAAAATCTTAAGCTAGATTTGCATTATATGATGGCAGAAATGAAAGCACAAAGTTGATCATCAAAAGAATCATCAGAAATAAATAGAAAGTGACAAAACACAATACTCGTATACAACTCTAACCTGAGATGTGTGTTTTCAACTTCTTCCTCTTAGCACTAGGTTCACCAACTCTCCTCTCGTCTACCGAAACATTTTGCAAGGGATGATACCTCATTAAACTTAGCTGTTCCTTTGCTACCTCAAGCCTTCGCTTTTCATCTCTCTAATAACAAACAAAAACAAGTTCATGGCAACCACTTTAAAGCCTTTCATTAACAAAAACAACTCATGCTTTTGATGCAACAAAAGATCAACTCTTACATAATTCTTCTCATGCACAATAAGATGCTGCTTACAAAGCTTCAATTCCATCTCAAGTGCATTGATACGCAAATCAACCGGAACAGCACATTGCTCCACTATTTCCTTCTGTCTTCCCCGAACAACCTCCGGCTGCCACACATTCAAAGCTACCGAAGCTTGCCTAGAAAACGCCAAGCAACCCAATACAGTCAATCAATTGCCCATAATTAATCACAACAAACGATGCAAGTCCAGGAAAAATGAAGAACTGCTAAAGAAATCGATAAACATCGAATCACAGCACTACCGAAAACTCGGTTTGCACAATTCCTCGCCCTTTCTCACTTGCTCTAATTCACAATTGACTACAAAATCTATTTAATACTACAGATATTTCGTTGCCACAGTTCGATTAATTAGCTAATATTGTTTTTAATTTGATTCAATTATTTCAATCAAAAAATTAAACATGTAATTAATCACAACAAACGATGCAAGTAGGAAAAATGAAGAACTACTAAAGAAATCGATAAACATCGAATCACAGCATTTGCACAATTCTTCATTCCATAGCCCTTTCTCACCTGCTCTAATACACAATTGAATACAAAATCTACTTAATACTACATATTTTTTGTTGCCACATTTCGCTTAATTGGTTAATACTGTTTCTAATTTGATTCAACAATTTCAATCAAATAACAAAACAAGAAATTGATCATTACCTGACTCTACGCAGATTCGACAACTCGAAAGCAACCGCCTTCATTCTATTACTTTCTTCAACCAAACGAGTTCGCAATTCCTCGATCCTTCTAGAATTCTCAGTAATCCGACTCTCAATTCTAAGCACAGCTCGCTTATGAGCAGCAACTCTTTTCGCCTTATCTTTCTCATACCTAAAATTTTCACAATTCAATAATCAATTGAATTCTAAACCATAGATTTGAAAATTCCAAACAATTCAATTGAAAACCCTAGATTTTGAGGCAGAGACCAAGATTTGTAGAGTGATTTGGGGGAAATTGAAGAAGATGAATTGTTGTTGTTGTTGTTGGTGGTGAGGCGAAGAGGGAAGTCGGAGGAGAGCAAAGAGGACCAAAGTGAGGGTTCGTTGGATAATCGATGAAGGCGTTTGCAGGTGATTGCGGTGCAGCACAACTCTTTGAAGGTGAAACCATTGTTGTTGTGTTTGTTTGAAGGTTTCACTCCCATTTCCAGAATTTTCCGCCATAGTTCTTCAGGAAGCTCCGCCATTGTTGAACTGACTTGCTTATTCGAGTTGTATTTCAAAGAGACATGTGTTGTGATCCGTAGGTAGCACAAAACTCTAGCTAAGATCAAAATGACTTGATGCTTAATTGCTTAAACAGAATACGGGAATAAATATTGAAGGTTGAAACAAAATTAAAAAGAGGGCTCTTATGACTCGACTCTAATAAGAGTCCGTTCACTTCAGCTTAATTTCATTTCACTTCAATTCAGTTCCTAATTTTCATATGTCACAAAATATTCATTTCAACTAAGTGCACTTCAACTCTAATGAGTTCAGTTCATTCCAATTCAGTTAAATAAATGTGAACATACCCTAAATTAGGATAGTTAGACAAGAGAATAATGTATTTAAAAAAATAATAAAATAATTAAAACTAGATTAGGTCTCGTGTCATACACGGTTATTTCATTAAATCTAACAATAAAAAGAAAAAAATTGTATTAAAAAGAATTTTTTAGAAAATAACAAAAAAAAAAAAATTGATTTTAACACACAACAACAACAACAACAACAAAACCTTTGCCTATAACTGAAGGGATTGTGTCTTCGACAAGTGCAATTACTAGATACATGAAGGATCACTATTATGGAGATAATAAGTTCATTCTCTTGGGTCGTCATCATCTGTTGCTAGATTATGAGCGATGATCTTTGGACTGGTCAAATAGTCCAAAGCTCGCTAGAATGGATCATATGAGGTTACACACAAGGGTATTGAGTTAAGCAAGTTAGAGACCCATTAATGGGCCTCATGAGCAATTAACTAATCATGAAAAGGATTGGGCTAATGTAGTTTGATTGGAATTAGGATTTGGGCTTTGTCATAGACTCTTATTTAGAGATGAGATCTATAAATAACACTCATGCCTAGGGTTGATAAATTAAGTCACAATTAACTTACAGTGAATTGTGAATCTAAGCAACCAAATCCCAAAAGCCCTAATCTCCCCTCAAACTCACGGCACTCTCTTCCCCCCCCCCTAGACTCAAGGCCGGCCACCCCTAGTGGCACGTGTGGTGGTTCGTGGTGGTTTGTGATTAGTTCGTTGTTCGTTCTTCTCCGTAGAAGGTCAATTGAAGGGTTCAATTGCAACTAACTAGCATTAGTGGAGGTCTTAATCCGTGCCCGTGGACCAAGTAGAGGAATCATGCTAGGGGTTCTTTATCTCCCTTGTTCTTGCTCAATCACACGTGGAATCACGCTTTAAAGGTATAATTCTTACTTCTTTATGTGTTATGCATGAGATCCTTGGTTAGGTGCTTTATGAATGTGATTCATGTTTATTCCGCAATTAGTACCTATAATTTCCTACAATAACACCAAAATATATATATATATATATATATATATATATATATATATATATATATATATATATATATATATATATATATATATATATATATATATATATATATATATATATATATCAAAAATTTGATTTCACCATCTCATAACGGATTTTTGGATGTAATCCATTAGTGGGGCCATGATTGACACGTGACAAATATAATACTCTGTATTCGTATTATATATTAGTATATATAAATTATATATTTTAGGGAAATTATTAATGATACACCCAAGGTTCGAACTTTTATCAATGGTACACCAACTTAACTTTTGTTTATCAGCGGTACACCCAACTTTTCACACGATTATCAACCATACACTTAGCGTTAAACAAGCGTTAAGTTTTGTTTAATTTGATTTTTTAAACTTAAAAAATTCCCTCCCTTTTTTCCCTCTTAACTTTCCCTCCTTTATTAACTCTACCTCACCCACCCCCTCTTACTGTATATATAGTTTCCCTCCCTTCTGATTTTCCCTCTTCACTCTTTTCCTCTTTTTGTCGAAATTCCCTCTTCCTTTTCTGTTTTTTTTTTTTTTTTTTTTGCTTATCAATGTCTTCTTCTGGCATGGGTTCCTCTAGCAATAGAAATGGGAGGGGTTTGTGGTTCAAAGCAGTTAATTGCAACTATGACCCTTGAAGATCTGCTGATATCAGATTCTCAAGCTATGTTTCAAACCCTGAAAGACCCTACTACAAGTGCAGAGTGTGTGAAATCTTCATCTGGGTGAAGGAAGATCAGATGGTTAGTGACATAGCAGGTAGAGTGTCTAATACAGCTAAAGCTACAAGTGTTCAACTTATGAGGAGAGAATTTAATGAGTTTATGCACAAAACAGATGAATTTGTTGACTTTGTTAATTTGATGGTCAAAATTGCCATTGTTATGTATTTGGTGCTATTAGTGGTAGCTCTAAAATAATGTAATCCTATTGTATTTTGCTTAATGAATATCAAAAATAGCTAAGTCATTGCTGACTTTTTACTTCAATATTGCTGAACTTAATATCAATAAAAGCTTTTACAAGAAAATGTTCAGCAAATCCAAATGCATTACTTAATACACAAATACTACACAAAATAATCTACATTTGCCATTCATTGCATATGTCCAAAGCTTATAGTACCAAATTCATTGTGAAAAGCATAATTAAAAAAGATGAAATTAAAATTGATTGTCAAAAGGTACTATAGACAAAAACCAACCCAAAGTATCAATACACAAAAAACTGAGCATTTGGAAGCATCCAGCATGAATACACTAAGTTTGGGACTGTTGTGAACCACCAAGCATCAAGCTATGCATCTAAGTTTGGGACTGTGACTGGCTGAGAGGGGGCTGACTCTGCATTTGTAAAGCATCAAGCAATGTTTCCATCTGTTGTGCAGCCTCTTTGTTGGTGGGACCGCCCTTACATGTCCTAGAATTATGACCAAAAGATCCACTGTAGCTACACTTGACTGTCCTTGATCTTTTCCCAGGTTGTTCCTCCCCTTCTTCTATTCTTACTGGGCCTACCAATCCCTCTTTTCATTTTTGGAGGGTCGATGTGAGGGAATGCATCCATGCTTGGTCACTGACTCATATTAGGCACTGGATTTATGTGGTGGTTGTAGAGTTGCTTGTATGTTTTCACAGAATACCAAGAGCTGATGTAGTTGTATGGATCAACATTTTCATGGACCATTACCCTGATGGCATGCCTTGAAGGTATCCCAGATAGCTACCAAGCACCACAAGAGCATATCTTGCTGTTCAAGCTCAATGGGAACTAAGATTTGCCCTCATGTACCTTATATTCTTTTGGACAGGATGGGTATGCTTTGAAAGTGGTGGTTGCCTTCTTGATGTCCTTCATCTTCAATTCTTAGCTATCTTAGGACACACATCATCATTATTCCAAGACTTTGATTTCTCATGCCTAGTTGACATCCTGACCATACACACCCTTCTAATTTCTATGATAAGAAACAAGATCAATAATTTAGCATATATTAGCATATATAAGTAAAAATGAATCAAAGGTTTTGGATTATACCTTCTAGCAGAGTTAAGACAGGTCTGCACCTATCAACCCCAAGAGTTGAGTTAAAACTCTCCACAAAGTTTGATGTGTTTGAGTCATTACAAACATTTGGATCAAACTTGTGTTTGCTCCATCTAGACTGATCACCAATGTTAGCAAACCACTTCATCACCTCTTCACCTCCCTCCTTTTGAAGCTTCTCCATGGCTTTTCTGAGGCTGAATTTGTTGGTTGCATTACAGGCCCTCCAGAACAGGATATACATTAATGGTCCTAGGAAGAGCGTTTTGAAATTTCTACTAAGGTGTCTACATCAATACCTTCTCCTAGCTGCAGGCCAAACTTGCTTCAAAGCTATGTCAACACCATGCAAGAACAATTTCAAACTAGTTATTCAAAGTCTAAGTCTGTTTGCAACCGTTTAATATAATTTGAAAAATAAGTACCTTTTATCTATTAGATATTATAGTCCAATATAATCTTTTCTTTCTAAGTGTTGAACAAGGTTGTACAGGTGCCAAAAGAAGTATGACTAGCTTTCCTTATCTTTAGCACTGACTACAGCATAAGCAACTGGGAAAATTTCATTGTTTGGGTCAATTGCAACAACAGAAAGCAACATAACCCTATAGTTTCCCTTCAAATGTGCCCCATCAACACTAATTAGTGGCCTACAACTACTTTAGAGACCCTTCCACTGCCCAGCAAAAGAAATGAACATGCTGCTAAATAAGTTTACTCTTGGGATGCTCTCACTCAAATACCATGCTACAAATGCTGCTAATTCTGGGTTAGTACTCTTGATCACCTCTGCATATGTTGGTAAGTGAGTGTAAGACTCATCATGCCCTCCAAACAAGACATCTCTCACATACCTCTTCAATCTGTATAAAGAAGCTTGCTTCATGTATATGTCATACCTTTGAAATAATAGCTCATTCAAAGCTTTCCCAAAGATATCTGGATTAGCCTTGATTTCCTTCATCACTTTATATGCAACCTACTTTACAATGCACATTGGGTTGTATGTCTCCAAACCCCTACATGTGTGCATATCAGGCCATATCTTCTTTATAGCTAGCCCATGTTCTGCCATCTAGGAGCTTGCTTGCATGTAATCTCCAGCCATAACATTCAGCATAGCAGGTGACTGTATACCTCCTATTGTCTGCAAACACAACATTCAAGGATGGAAAACCCCTCTTGAATAGCATAGTCCTTCAATGTGTCTTTCAAATTACCCTTATCAATGAAAAGCATACAAGGTTTCAACTGAATTTTCCCAAAATCCACTACTAGAAAACATGCAAATAACGACGGAATTTTTTCGTCGGAAACACCCTAAATTCCGTCGGAAATGGGGTTTCCGACGAAATTTCCGTCGTAACGGGTCGTCGGAATACATATTGTAGGAAAACCAGCTTTTCCGACGAAATTTCCGTCGGAAACACTATTCCGACAGAATTTCATCTGTCGGCAGGGATTTTCAGGCCAGTGAAAATCCGTCGGAAAATTCCGACGGAATATAATCCGCCGGAAATTTTCGACGGAAATTCCGTCGTAAAAATGTTTCAAAAAAACAAAAAAAAAACAGCCACCCACCACCCCACACCACCAGTCCCCCCCATCCAGACCCAACCACAACCACACACCACCACCCCACACCACCAGTCTTCCCCCCATCCGGACCCAACCACAACCACACACCACCACCCAACACCACCAGTC